TGTATTGAATGGGTCTCAGTGTAAGTGAATGGGGATTAACTTAGTGTTCACATATCTCAATGAAAGTGAATGGATGTGTATTGAATGGGTCTCAGTGTAAGTGAATAGGGATTGACTTAATATCTGAGTGAACGTGAATAAAGGGGTCTCGATGAAGGAGGGTCCGTGCCGAGTGGTGGTGACGATGCTACTCGGGTCGCCTCTGCGACGACACGGGCGTTGGCCTTACAGGTGGGGCGGACACGCAGGTGTGGACCATCATCGTGACGTCTCTGTGTGAACAGCGCTTTGTCAGGTGGCGTGACTCGTAGGAACGCGGCAGCGATGAGGGTAGCGGCGAGGTGGGTGGGTGTGTCGCTGGGGAGCGGTGGCGCAGTGGTTAGGCGATTCTCGCTCACGGCCAGCACCAGTGACGATTTTCCCAACGGGTCCCGGGCCTCCCCTAGGTCGACTCAGCCTCAAATGGAGATCCTGGTGCGGTGTGTAATCGTCGCCACTGGGGAGACAAAGGCGGCCTGGCGTGGTGCTGGCCACCCCACCCCCTCGTGTGCCGTGCCGGCATTCATCGATGCTACTCGCTCACAGCACTTACCCCAACAGCCCATTAAGGCTACCCGGAGGATCTTTGCGATATTCTTTGTACGTACAGATGTATACACACCGCAGGCACCAGGTACTTGGACTCCTTTGAGGCTGAGCCGACCTCGAGGGAGACCCTGGACTGTATCAGATAGATTTGCCACTGATGTTGGTTGTTGGCTGTGCGTTTTTTGAATCGAACTCACGTGGCTGGATCTCTCTCGAAGCGCAGTGCGCGAACCGCTCGCCACCAAACCGCTCAGCTCCATCATTATCAAGAGACAAAGATCCCCCGTGTTGCCTTAACAGACTGGAGGAGCAAGTGCTGTTAGCGAGCACCTATGAAGGCCGTGAACGGCTCACAACGGAATTGGCCGGCCAGCACTATGCCCGACCGCCTTTGTCTCCCCAGTGGCGATGTTTTACACACAGAACCAGGTACTCATTTGAGGCCGAGTCGACCAAGCAGAGAGGCCCAGGACGGGTTTATTTTTTTTTTATTTGACCAAGTAAGGCCCACTGAGCCATACAGCTTTAAGATCATCGTCACCGGTGTTGGTGGCCGCGAGCGGGGATCTAACTCCGCATCACGGGGTTCGGAGCGCAGCGTAGCGCTAACCGCTGCTCCACAGCTCCTCACCACCGTCACCACCACCACCACCGTGACCTGCAACCCCTCCCCCACACCCGTAAACCCCGTCATCCCCTCCCACGCACCTCCAGCCCGCAGCCCGCCCACCCGTCTGCGCGTTCCGTTGATTCTCAGAAGCGAGTCTGTCGCGGGGAATTCCTGACTCAAAGTCAATTCTCTCTCTCGCTCGCTCTCTCTCCCCCGCACCTTTGCGGCCACGTTACCGTGGGTGGGGTGGGTGGGGTGGGGGGATTCCCGGCTTGCGTGTGGGCCACGCTGGTTAACGACATCGCTCAAACGCCGACGGACCCAACGCGCCAATGAGACCGAGGTTCGATTCCCAGCCGCGGCCGACATTTGTTGGCAAGCGATATCAGGCGCGATGGGTCCAGCGTTGGCTCACTCTCTGGGTGCCGCTCCAAAGGCTGTTTCGCCAACCTGCCCTCCTCCACGATTACATCGGCAGCACTTTTGTCGGAATATTCTGTTACAGACGCCCCAGGGGCTTGACCATAAAACCTTTCACGAAGCTCGAAGCATCCTTCACCTGCGTTTTATAGGCCGGACGTTAATTTTCAAGTTCGTTTGTAAAATTTCAAGAAACTCTCTGACTCACGCAGCAACACAGACATTACCGTTGCCTCGAACATCTGTCTCATCGCACTGACATCTCTACTCTTCCAAAAGTGCTCTGTGTCATCCGTTAAGCACTCGCCCTGGTAACGGAATACACAGCTCAATTGTTCCCTCACTCCCCCCCCCCTTCCTTTTCACGAATCGCGCTAGTGCCTCAATGCACACAGTGCTTCTACGACCTCGAAATTATCACCTATGATGCAAGTGTATGGCTTCACACCCATAACCACTGCCATCAACTTGAAATAAATATAACATTTTACATTGACACTCTAATTTTTTTTTTAAGATCTGGACCCGGCTCAATTGACCCAGCTCAAATAAACTGTATGACTGGCGGTTTTTGTTTTAAAGTGCTGAATCAAAATATGAAATCAGAGTTAAAGATCTAAATGCCACGTATCTTATTGTTTCGGGCCTCCACGATTGAGTGGCTACACTTTTTGTAACTTTTGTCATGATGATTGTTGAGCTGATCTGGCCCATACCTTCCAATTGCTCCTATCCATGCGTGAGCATCGCTGTCCTCTACGCGAGCATTCGAGCCAACCCAAATCAAATGACCGTATCCCTCGGGGCCACTTTAGCCAACGTCCGAGGCTGAGGTCACACAAGCCATCCGAGACTCATCCAATTTGCTCACGAGCAGGTCCATCCATATCGGGGGGTGAGTGTGGAGCCCTGGGCAAATCCCACAATGCGGGCTCCCTGACGCCTTCACACTAAACCAGAAGTATTGCATCTGACCCCCCCCCCCCAAAGCACGGGGCCCTGGACGGTCGCCACGATTCGTCGTACCCAAGGGACAGCTCTGCCCACGGCCCTCCACAGACATGCCATCTGCAACGTGACCAGAAGCAACCGCCACCACCGTTCCTCGCACTCTCGTGATGATGATGTGGTGGGGAGGTTAGCCCACAAGAGCCCACAAACTCATCGTCGCAACGCTCAGTCCGCTTTCATTCTTTTTTATGGCTGCCCTGAATGGAGGGCTGTTTACCGCTTGCAATGACAGGGGCTGGGGCAAGTCCGCTGGGCCACCTGTTGGATCTTACATCGCCACGCCGGCCAGTGCGGGTTGGTGAAGGGGTCGGACCATTAACTGGTACAGATATCACTCGCCACGAATGTGAGCCGTGGTTGGCAATCTAACTCAAGTGGCTGAGTTCATAGTCGAGCGGGCGAACCACTGCTTTGTTGTGAATATGTAGCTGCTGATGTATCGGCCACTAGTCCTTTAAGATACTTTTATTTAATGATGCATGCTTTTTTAAGTTATAATATATATTCAACCTTAGTATGTTTATATGTTGTGGCTTTCTTTTAAACAAACTAAGTTTATTTAAAAAACAGAAGTACCTTCTCCTATTTAGCGTTGTTATTGCATCCTTACAAAAGTGAAAATGTTTGATAGATTGTTGACACGCTGCTTATTGGCGAACGGGTCCTGACATTCAGATGGCAGAAACCCTCTCCTCCAATTCAACGTACACCGGCCCTCACACGAGGCAGACAACAACAACAACAACAACCCAGATAGCCATTACATAGTTCCAATGGATTGTGCTACTGCTGCTGCTGGCTGGCTGCTCCATCCACCACACCACCACTTCCCGATCTGGCACTCCCACGTTATCATCTGTAACCTGCCGCACCATCCACCCACGCCCACACTTTGAATGATCGTTGCAAGTGTGGGAACATTTTTTTGGACGACATCGCCGTCCTTACGGGAGGAATATTTCCGTTGCGCAAATAGTAACGCGATGCTGATGAAATAATATTTTTTTTGTTCCATGACGGAATGCTCGGGTGCCACTTTTTTTTCAAGTTTAGTCGAGAGTGCACGGGACACACAAAAAGGATTGAGACTCTTTTGAAAAGAGCGAAAGTGTCCCATTAACGGTGATCTGAAATAGCCCATCGAGCGTCAACTTTGGTGAGGCAGGTGGCCAGTTTGTTGTGTAAGGGTTCACGTTTATAAGTGGAGCAGATGTTGTGCATTTATTTTTCTCTCGCAGGAATCGTTAACATCGTGATACAAACATGACACTTGCGAGAGCTGTCCACAGCGGTGGAACTTTTCGAGAAAATAAAAAGTTAGCCACCCAAACATTCCAATATGGCTGACATTTTTCCAAGATGGCCACCAGTTTGTTGGTGGTGGCCATCTTTGATTCTGGGCGGCAATCTTTGATATGTTGGTGGCTCACGTGTTTTCCTCGTTGAGAAACTCTCGTTCGAGCGAATACTTGCCGAAATTGGTGCGTTTATCACGATTTTAACGATTATTCATGTTATCTACTCCACTATCTGGCTCTGTGTAATGCTTAAGGTGTGTTGTTCGTTTGACGCTTTTCCTGCAAGTACGTGTGTGCACGTGCAGACCGTTTGTCAAACCGCTTCTGGACGAGGGTCTCCCCCGCACCCACGTCGAGTGGGCCGGGGAGGGTGATTTAACCATACTTCACCACGCTTGTAGGTGGGGGGGGGGGGTTGATGAAGGTGGGCAGGAGTGAGAACAACAAAAGCCTACGTAGTTTTTGTTCTGCTCTCATGCAAGCCACCCATCCAAGCTCTAACCACGTTCAACTCGCGTTTTAGTATCCAAGGTCTGATGGCATCAGTTGCATTTCTGGGTAAATTGGTTTTGCGTCTATAAGGCACATAACACGAGCGTGCTATTTATCACTCGGCTTGTTTTACCCAGGAAAGCCCTCGCCGAGTCTCGCGACTCTTTTTCATGAGGGTCCTGCCAAGTTTTTGCAGTATGGGCGGGTGGGGGGGGGGGGCAAGTTATTGTTGTGTCGATTCCCAATCGAATAAATTTGGCGTGTGATTTTTTTTTCAAGTGCGTAAATTTGGACCGCGACGCCGGCACACGCAGTGGCAAACTCTTGCGAATGACGTCACGAGATCTTTTTACGTCAGCTGCAAAGCAGACCACACTTCGTAGTAGCTTCAGTAGTATTGCTTTGACGGTCAATGCACCAGCAATATTAATCAGGGCAGCCGCTGGGATTCGAACCTCGGCAACAACAAGTGGTGAGAGGCACTGCCGGTGGGCCACACTGCCGTGGCCCTAAAACTAACACGCGTTGACAAGCAAGCGATATTTGTAGCGGTACGCAGACGACTCGGGCAGACGGACGGATGACAAGGAAGACGTGTTTATTGAGAGCCTGTACGAGAATCACACGAGCTCTCGCACATCTGTGCCCCAGCTTCATACGCAAAGCGATACGCAGACTACAATACGCAACAAGGGTGCAACAACGACATCGGCGCGCCTCTCATACATACGAATCGGCGCGAGCGTGTCCTCTTCGACTTCCCCGTTACATCCACAATAAATACACGCGGGGGGGCAAGGTGTCGTATAAATTAATAGGACAAGCGGTGTCGCCTATCAGTGGAGAAATAAATAAAATACATGGGAACAGAATGAGGAATGAATGCAGTGCTGCTTATTGTCATTAGCGCCACCAATACCATTAGCAGGACTGAATGTAAAAGAGCCAACACCGAACGAACACAAGGCAATGGCAAAGTCTCCCCCTCCCCCACCCCCCGTCCCCCACCACCGTACCCTCTCAGCCTTATAGCCACGTTGGGGGCCAGTGCCGTTATCGATCAGCAATGATCAAAGACCAAATGGCGCACCTACAGTGCGAGGGCTTGGCATGGCCCAGCGTCACTGGGGCCACTCGGCGAAACGCTCTCTCAGCCGGGTCGGTCTGGGGGAGGTCCAACGCCGCGTTGGAGCGACAAACTCGACGTCCAAACGAGCGTGCGTCAGCGGCCAGGGATCGAACCCGGGGGTGGCGGCCGTCGAGTTGCAGCGGTTCGGCGGCGACGCCGTCGGTCGCGCACGACCATGTTGGACGCTCGATCGCGTGGCACCCCAACGCAGTCCCGTGCACCTGGACACATTCGCCGTTCCGTCGATTTAACCGCGTGCGGCGCGGTGCGCTGATTACGAGACGCAAAGTCTACGCGTTGAAAAATGTGCCGATCGTCGGCATCTGTCGGCTCTCTTTGGCCAATAGGCATGGGGGGGGGGGGGGGGAGTCTTTCCTGTAACCCCATCGGGAAATTTCCACCAAGCGATGAGACTTACATGGATAAGAATAAATTACGACTGTCGTCTTTAGCAAAACCGCGTCTGGATTAACAAACTAAAATATTTAGCGCATCACCATCGCGCGCAACGGCCCTTCCATCTGGGCGACGAGACGTGGACTGGGTTTCGTGAACGTTGGAGATCATCGTCACAACTGGACGTATACACAATTGGCATTTTGATGACAACAATTGTCATTGTTATGACAGAAGAGGTTGTTACTGGCAAAGGCCCATACCTCAATAATAATAATAAGAATCATAATGTTTGCTGAATCATTGTTGTGCTAGTAACACAGATTGCTGTCCTAAAATATTAACTTACTACAATATATACTGTACTCTAGAATGTATTTCGTTTAATTCTCAAAGTTGGTCATTTGTATTACGGTGTACAATTGTGTGTTTGTGTGTGCATCACAGACACGGATCCCTCGGCTCTTACAGACTGCCAGTGCAAGAACAATTAGCGAGCACCTATGAAGGCGTTGTGATGAGTACACTAAACTACAACCTCGGTCGCCCGGGTTCGACTCCTGACCAAGATGCACATCTTCAAAAGCAACTGGAAGCCGCATTATAAAATAACTGTTATTTGGCTTCCTTTAGGCCGACTCAAGTCACCGTGCAATGGTGTTCGTCACAAGCATCGGCAACGGGAAGACAAAGGTGGGCGGGCTATGCCCCCCACTGGTATGGCAGACTGCAAGTTGCACGAGGGATCTTTGTCATGTAGCGGTGTGTGTGCATGTGCGTGTGTGCGTGTGTGTGTGTGTGCGTGCGTGCGCGTGTGCACGTGTGTGCGCGTGCGCGCCCGGTCGCCATCTCTATAGCATCCCATGCAGGGCAGAGTTTTTCATCATCACTCCCTTTAGTCTCTTCATCTTCCTCCACTTCAATCCACCTCACCCCCCCCCCACCCCGCACCCCAGCGGCGCACGGGACCCACACTCCGTCGTCAAGACCGATTGCATTGTTCCCCACATGTCCCCCGCATCATCTCCCCGCATCTTCGTCTCTCTCGCGCTCTTCATAGGTCGGCAAGATAAGTTTGGATGAGTTGGCAGGAAGCAGCTGATTTCATCTGTGCATGGCCTGAAAACGATAAAAAAACGAGAGATGGCATCGTTAGTATCACACACCGATCCGCCTCCACCGTCCATACGTCCAAAAAATCAACGTGCAGCCTCCCGGCTTCGACAAACGCGTCTCACTGCCGCTGACGATGCCAGGCCACTGGTGGAAATTCCGCGTACTAAATGGTGGATGGAGGAGGGGTGGGCAGACGATGCCGCTGTGGAACAGTAATTGTTGGTTACATTCACTTCGTGACCGCTATGATTTGATTTCATGAACCCCGCTGCGTCTCTGTAGATAAATCTCCCTTTGTTTATCCATTGTCTACCTTAAACATTGGGCACGCACGCACGCCAAGTGGGCCTCTGTGAGCGCTGTGCCCGCCAATGCCACTGGCCGCAGCCATGGCGATGGAGTGGCTTCGTGACATGTTCCGTGTCTTCCCCTTTTCTGTCTTTCTTCATCTTAGCACTCTTTCAGTTTAGTGTGCAAATATTTGTTCCGTATCGTATCATCCTTTCTCTCTCTCTCTCTCTGACTTCCTTTCCCCGTGGGGTCTTTCAGTTCCTCGTTAATTCATTCAATTCCCCCTTTCATTCATCCATTCACCCTTTCAGTTTTTGTTGAATGTGTTTACTCATTACCGTAACATCTCCCAGCACTTTTGGAGGCATGACGCCTCACTCTGAAACCGTTTTGTCTTTTTATATTTCGCAAAGTCATCGCTTTATCCACGTTAAGCAAATCTGCTGAAGTCTTTTGCGTGAATCCATGGTATACAACGCATCTTGTTCAATTCGCGAATCTTAGTCCAAGCTAAGCTCTCTCTCTCTCTTTGTATCTCTGCCTCCGATCTGCCACGCCATCTCCCACACTATCCGTCGGTCCTCTCTCGTGTGCTCTCTCACTCATCCTTATATTTGAATAAATGGTGTACCAATCCACCGATACAATTTGAGATTTTTTTGGGGGTCCTATCAATCAATATCCCAATTATTTTTCCTTGGACGATACGAACCCGGTGACCTGGGTTTGATTCCCAGTCACGGCTTAACCTCATCATCATCATCAGTAGCAGCGACGAGATGTCGAAATTGTGAACTAGTTTGAGATCACGCCTACACCACACACACACACTGGTGAAATATGGCCAACCATCATGCAGCGTTGGATTGACAAGGGCAGTTTAATTGGTATCACTAAACACCACGAATCAGCTCACCAGTTTACGATTTTTTTTATTTTTAAACCTCTTCAGTCCGTCTCGTTCTGTGCGAGTAAAGTTCGCTTTTGCCTCTCATCCTCTTACTCGCACCAAGTTTTCGTTCGTGCCGTCGTTCTTTTAACCCTTCTGTCGTTCCACATTTCGTTATTTAAAAAAAAGGAAGTGCCCCTCTACTATCTTTATTCAATCTGTTGCGCAATTTCGAAGTGAGAGAACAAACGAAAAACCTCCGCAGTTCCAAGAGGTCACGCGCACGCACGCACGCGCCCACGCCCACTCTCTCTGACGCACGCCCGTGACCCCCCCCCCCCATCTCTCTCGAATCGCTCAGGGTTTGCGTAACGCCCGACAGACGAATGCGGGGCACCCAGCGCCGCCCGCCTCTCGCCTCGTCGTGTGACTAATTCCTGCTCCCCCACACACGAAGAAGGGGCATGCATACCTTTACCAGAGCCTCCAAAAAAAAGACAAAGACTTCCCCCCCTCCCCACCCACGTGTAGCCTTAACAGACTGTTGGGGCAAGTGCTGTTAGTGAGCACCTATGAAGGCCGGCACGGCACACGAGGGGGTGGGTGGCCAGCACCACGGCCGACCGCCTTTGTCTCCCCAGTGGAGATGTTTACACATCGCACCAGGTACTCATTTGAAGTTGAGTCGACCTAGGGGAGGCCCAGGACCTATTCCGATAATCGTCACTGGTGCTGGCCGTGAACGGGAATCGAACTCGGGTGGCCGGGTTTGTAGCGCGGAGCGCTAACCGCTACACCACCGCTCCCCACACCAGCGCCTCCACACCCCTCCCTTCCTCTGCCCTGCCTCCACCTTCTATTACCCATCGTGTCCCTCCAAGATTGTTGGGCACGTGCTGTTAGCGAGCACCTATTTAGGCCGACACGGCGCACAACGAGAAGTGGTTAATCATTCGTCTCTTTCCCCGCACTGCTGATAATTCCAGCGTTGCGTCAGCCACTGATTAAAGTGCCACTGATGTTCGCCGTGGCCTGGAATCCAACTCGGCTTAGAGGCCGCGTGCTATCCACGGCGCGCCACCACTCGCCTTGCAACATCCCACTCCTCAAAAACCTGCTCCATCTCCCCAAGCATCTGTGAAGAAACGGCTGCCATCATTTGCAACGAAGAAAGACCATTGTCTGAAACGTCGCCTATGCAACTTTTTCCAATGCAAGGCCACACAGTGTAATTTACGCATGCCTCGAGTTTTTTTTTTCTCTCTCTCTCCAACACAATCCCCTGCCATTGTTCCTCACTGCCACATGGCGAGGGGTGGACACGCAGGGCCCCGCTCAGCAGATGCAGCTGCCCCGTGGCTCTAACGACGGATGTTAGGGGTCACAACATTGCCTGACCTCTCTGAAGTGCTGACTCTTTCGTTAAAGCACCCACCTCCCCCATCCACCACCAGCAACCATTCAACGGGCTTCAACAGCTGCTCTATGTGTGCACGCGTGTGTGCGCCTGTGTGTGTGTGGCCGTGTGTGTGGCCGAGTGTATGGGTGCATGTGTATGTGTGCATGTGTATGTGTGACCGCGTGTCCATGGGGTGGTGGGTGTGTCAGTGTCTTTGTCTGTTGCTGGCCTCGCTAACAGCACTTGTCCCAACATTCTGTTGAGGTTTTACGTGGGGATTTTTTTGTTTCTAAATATACCACTCCTTGTGCTTGCCTCAACAGCGTGAATAGCTATACGGGTCCCTTTGCTTTCGTGGGTTTGAGCGGGGTGCTGTTAACGCAGTGGTCCGCGCGCACTGCGCTACGAACCTGACCGCCTGCGTTCGATTCCCGGCCACGGCGAACGACAGCTCATTGGCCCGTGGGTATCCGCACCTATTCTGGGCCTCCCCTGGGTCGACTCAGCCTTAAATGGCGTTCGTCAACATGGGCACAGAGTCAGCCATGCCTGGGCTTGCCCACGTCACCATCGTGTCGCCTCCCAAGGCGGACTCGGTAATCGATGCTCGCGAACGGCACTTTCACCAACGAGTCTACATTTCAAGGTTAATATTTAATCATGCCCGGAGACCTGGGTTCGATTTCCGGCCACGGCTATAATATCAGTGACGAGTGATATCTGACCCTTTCCGAAACACGTATTGGTATGGTCGAACATACTCCAGCCAGCCGTGGATCGACAGAGGGCTGTGAAACGAAACTGCGTGTGCATTAATGCACAGCACGGATGTTGACACTGCAGAGTAATTAACACGCATTCGGTGAGTACCTCTTCAAGAGGGCACTTACTTTCGCAACACCGGTGTGGTGATGGGTCAACATGTGACCTGATAAGGTGCCCGTGGCCACACTGAACACGTGACAGAGCCACGGGATTAGCCATCTCAGGCTACGTGAGCCGACGTGACTCTGCAACCACCCCGACCAGACGATTATCCTGCAATGCCCCACAGCCACTTAATCCCGAGTAGATCAACCACCCGCCCCACTGCTACCCATAGCTCTCAACCCCTTATTAGAGACCAATTCAGACTTTGCTGGTCACCCCGTGCCCCATCCTACAAAGTCCCATCGCAAGGGACAATCACAAAGAAATATTTTTTTAAAATGCTGGCCCGTATTGAAACGGCCGTACGCCGTATGGACCTGAAAACTAATTTTTCCTGCACAAGAATACGGGGTCAACCCGTGTGGGTTAACAGCTACGCCAACCCCAAACCACCCCAACCACCGTTATCCACCCTCCACTCCACCAGCCACGCACCTCTCGTCTCAGGGAGAGCCTCAGGCTGCCGTCACGGACCGGCCACCCTCGCCTCGGGCTGGGACTGCGCTCGGGACTCGATCCGTTGGAGCGGGCACCTCGAACCCCGCCGACGACTCCAGCACCGCCACCACCGCCTCCTCCTCCATCTCCTCCCGCGCCTCCTGCGAGTCGCGCCCTCGCCTCCTGGACGGCGCGGCGATTCTTGAATTGCACCATGGCGAGGATGATCTCGGCGTTCCATCCCGCCTCGGCGGGGCAGCGGAAGTCCAGCTCCTTGCCGCTGCTGAGGACCACGGTGAAGTACGTGTAGCGGCCGCGTCTCTCCACGCAGTCCACGGTTCGCACCAAGTCGAAGCCGAGGCGCTTGCCGCAGCCGCCGTTGTCGAGACCCGAGTCGCTGCTGCTGCCGCCGCCGCCGCTGCCGCCGCTGCCGGGCTGCACCAGCGTGAGGCCATCGCCCGTGAGCACCGCTCGCTTCTTCTTCCAGATCTGCAAGAAGTTCTCGCTGCGCTTCTCCAGCTGACCCACCTTGAGCACCTGATTGATTGACTCCAAAGTCTCCATCTCGGGCATGTCTCGCTCGCTCGCTCGCTTCTTCTTCTTCGCCGGTGTCGCTGCTGTCGCTGCTGACGCCTTTAGGCTGAAGCTTTTGTTTGTTCTACGTTGCGTTTGTCGAGTGGCTTTTGCACTTTGGATCGATGCCACCCGAAGGTCGGTGGTGCTGGTGGTTTGGCAGGGGCGTCTTGAGTCGCGCGCCTTTTGTCCTGCGCGGCGCCTCTTTGCGACGGGACTCGACAGAAAATGGCAAGACCGCTCCTCCGTTCGGCGTCTTAATGGGTCTCACCGGTGCAGGACACACCCACCAAGCCAACCGTCACACCACCGGCTCAGCACGCCACGCACCCACGCAGTCGTAGTCACTGACACACCCAACCCGGCCACCGCCACCACCACCAACCTCCCTCCCTCCCTCCCCTCCCTTCCTCCTTCTCCCCGCATCGCCTTCACATCCCCCACCCCTCCCCCACTCTCGTTCGCTCTCTATCCTCCACCCACTCGTCTCATTTCCTGCGCAAGCACCTCACTTATTAACAGACACTGACGTCAAGCGGGATGTGAGCCACGCTTCTTTGTGGTGTTGGGTGGTGCCAGGGGTGACGGGATAAAGTTAGAGACGGTAGGGGGTGGGGCGGAGTGGTGGTGGTGGATGGGTGGCTGGGGATGTGGTTGTGAAAGAGAGAGCGAGTACGGGACCTATAATCCACTCTGGACTTTGCTTCGCGTTCCGTAAGTGGGGTCTCTTACGGCCGATTTTTGGGGATCGTTCAAAGTCAAGTGAACCGTGGTTCCCATGCTCGGAACGAGTATGTGGCGCGTGTGCTCAACGAAACTTGCCAGCCCCTGGACATTCCACGTTACCATGGCGGGAAGGGATACATGCTCTCGTTTGAGCAACGACTGCTGACTGATGGCCTATAATGTAGTATTCAAAGCATCAACCCCAGAGGATGTCGTAGTAGTATTATTATTGTTATGCTTGCCTACCCAGCAGAGCCTCATTGAGATTCAAGCATCCTTCAGGAGAGTCCTGCTCGGTTTTCCACAGTCGGGTGCGATGTTTCGCACATCCGGTGGCCACGGATGGCTACGTACAGCTCGAAAGAAGTTTAACATACACGTACATACATACATACACGTTGCTGCCTCTGCTGCTGCTGTGTGTAATCCCTATTGAGTAATTTTCAGGTATATATATTTTTAGCATTGGGATGTTTGACCAACACCAGTTGGGTTGTATTGTATGTAGATATGGGATAAAAACCTGGAGACCCTGCAGGATACGCATGCAGAACAGGGGAAGAACATACAAACTCCTCCACACAGATTGGTGCCCGAGTCAGGTATAGAACCCAGCCTCTCTTCTTTCTGTGAGACGCAAGTGGAACCACGGCGGCGCGCTGCCACGCCTGTGCATAAAAAAGCCCTCTGGCACATCACCACCCACCCAGATAATCCCTTGGTGATGATCCATGTGACAATGTGGGGGAGGGGGAGCGGTGGCGAAGTGGTTAGCGCAAAGCGCAAAAAATGTGGCAACCTGACTACGATAACTAAGCACGGCTAACATTGGTGTCGAGTCATATCTGAACCAGTCCTGAGCCACCCCTCACCCCGCACTGATGCAATGGGGCGAGGTATGGTCAACCAACACCTGTGACCGACTCGGTGTGGCCATGCAGCGAGTAGACAGCCCACTGGGCAACCTGTAAAAAAGAGCTTCATAGCTCTTCGGATTCCTCGTACAGTCTAAATAAAGATTCTGATTCTGAGATGGGCAAAGGGCTTCAAAGTCAACATTTATTTTTCCGAGGAAATGAGCGTTCAGGCAGTGGTCATCTTCTTTTAACAGCCGAGCCAGTGGTGGAGTTTCTCGTTCCTATGGCAGTGGCGAGATATCCACAGGACGGACATTGTTGACATCCCTACAAAGTGGTACTAATTGTATCGACCCCAGAGAGATGATGGGCCGAGTCAACCCTCGACCAGGATTTGAACTCGCAGCCGCTTGCTCTACCGCTGAGCCACCTCGCCGGAAACGGCTGAATACATTTATAAGCTGAACATTATTATTTAGTGTTATTGTAATACTCTCGGCTTTTATTTGACGTTCGTAGCTGCAGGTCGTGGCTTGCTGATGAGTACCGAAGAATGCGAAACGTGTTCGCTTCTTCGCGACGCATCCTGGACATCCCACGAACCGAAAAGCTTTCAAAAAACATATTCGTGACAGCCGATCGAGCGCACATCTCATTGCAGGCATGCTGCTTGCCGGTGAAACATTAAAATACACGATCTATCCACTGCTGGATGAAGGCCGATCAAAGCCACCGCCGCCGCCATCTAGCACGACTTTGCGATGTTTACGATCCACACTGGACATCTGTGGGAAATAAAATAGCCTCGGCTTGCACCTCCAGTCTAATAATGAAGATTCTGATTCTCTCTTGGAACCATCACACGCCCCGATCGCATCGCTCTCCCACGTTGAACGTCTTCCCCGGACGAGTTTCCCCTCCTTTGGCTGACGTTCCGTCGTTAGTCTCGACCATCCCCATCGCCCCCCGGGTCGTGCTCTGGTCAAGCCCCGCTAACTTTTTCCCAACAGTCAAACGTGGCGGTTTTTTGTTTTCATTTGCGCGTACTTCCTAGTCTACACCAATGCGTTTCCTCCGCCTCTCTCTCTCTCTGCGTGAGTGTAATTCGTGCCATTGCGATCGTCATAGGAACGTGGAATTGTCGCAAAAGGGACCTGCAGGGACGTCAACTGCCAAAGGAAGCTGTTATCCAATGTGCCAATGGGTTTGATGATTGACCGCGATAAGAGCACCCGGCCACACGGCTCCATAGCTTTACGATCGCTCCGTGCTGTGTAAATTAATATATGACTTGCAAACAGCCGCCTCTATTAACAACGATAAACAACATTTTACAATCTACAACATCCGGTTTACCCTTTGTTTGCAGGTTAGTGCTGTTTACCATCTGCCTATTTGTTTAGTGGCAGTGTGTGTGTGCTGTCGACCCGAGTTCGATTCTCGCTCACGGTCAATACCAGTGACGATTATCTGAACCTGTCCTGGGACTCCCCTAGGTCGACTCATCCTCAAATGGACTACCTGGCGCGGTGTGTAAATAGACATCGCCACTGGGGGAGACAAAGGCGGTCGGGCGTGGTATTGGCGTCCCATCCCCCTCGTGTGCCGTGCCGGCCTTTATAGGCACTGCTCGCGAACAGCACTCGCCCCATCAGTCTGTCAAGGCGATACGGGTGGATTTGATGCGGTGAGTGGTTTAACCATCGGCTCACTGACGACAGAGGCGGATCTTGAAACTTGCCATAGGGTCGTACAGGAAGACTGCGTTGTCCTAATACCACGCAAGGCATCGAGAGACGTCGCGACTCAGATGGCTCGGTCACGTTCTCCGAATGGACCAGGGGACCGTATAGCCAACATTGCCCTTATGATGGACAACCACCGGGCGACAAAGGAGACCCAATACCACGTGGCCGTGAATGCCGAGATGGTGGCAGCGATCAGCCTCTCGTGGGCAGAGGATCAACAAGTCGCCAAGGACGTGAATAAGTGGAGGGAACTCATTGGCGGCCTTTTGTCCCATGGGGGATGAAGAGGATTCGCTTAACTCGATGTAGGGCCGCCCTCCATTAACAATGCCAATAGAGTGAAACGTGCATTGCATCGACTCTGATGAATATCAATGTCACGCTCTGTGTTGGGAGTCTCACCTGAGACCGGGTGTGGCGTTGCCCACATCTGAACCCCCACCCCCGATCCTCCACCAGCCCCACCCACCCCCACCCCCCATGCGTCGTCTCTCGGCTCTTACGGGAACGATTGTTTGCCCTTTGATCGGTTGAGTCAGGAAGCCGTTAACAAAAACTTACTGTCGACTGTTCACCCAACAAAACTTTTTTTTTTACAGCCACCGCTGTCAAAATAAAAAGCCATCAATGATGAATGACCCCACCTCCCTCCCTCCCTCCGTGTGCTGTTTACGTGCAAACAGCACACGGGGCAATGTGCGGAGGGAGGATGCGAAGCTTCCTCCGCGTCGAGCGAGGCGTTGTTCATTTTCGTTCGCGTCGTGTTGGCAACAGCGAAAGAACGAGCGATCGAGTGAGAGCCAAGAGACGGAACGTCAGCCAATCTCGGCGCCTCCGCCTCGTTGACTTGTCCGACGCGAGGTTTGGAACTCGGATGAGATGAACGAACGTGAGACCCACCGTCAAAGTCACGTGGCCAGCGCGTCGTTCACGGCGCTGGAACGTCACTCCTTTTGAAAGTAGACGTCGACGCGGTGACGTCATCGGACCGTGATTTCAAATTATTCCCCCCCCCCCCACCCTTCCCTTCCAAATCACGTAACGAAACGTATCAGAGCGTAGAGCCGCCCACACCACCACCCCCCACCTCCCTATTGGCAGCTGCCCCTGTGCGGCACAAGGGTGATCGAACGCCGGTCTTGTTGATGGATATTAGTCTGTTTAACACGTAGGCTTTCGCGACCAATATTCATAATAAACGTTTTTGGGTTAGATCGCGTTATTTATAAATGTGTCGTAACCCTCCAATTACCAGCGAAACGTCGTACTCAAAAATTGTAAATGTTGTAGTTTCACGCTTCAACACACCGGTGGGCTAAAGTAGTGAACTATTTGTCTTTTGTCAACGTCACATTTTTTTGCTGATTAGCCGTGTCGGGTGGTGGAGGGTTACGACACATGTATACATAACGCGATCTAACCTAAAAACGTTGATTATGAGAGATATTAGTCTGCCAGTAATGGGGGGCGACGATCGCCATTCCTTGATGCGAGTTATTTTCCTCTTTAAAAATGAATACAGATTTACATTGCGTGTTTGTTTTGGTTTATTTGCTTTTTTTAGTTTCGCTATGGTAGGAAAATCCCGTAGGAAAGCCGAGCTGAGCACGTGAAGAACGCGCCAACTCCGCACAGAACGGCACCCGACTCAGGCATCGAACCCAGACGCGTCACTGCTGCGAGGCACGCGTGTTGCCACTGCACCAGCCGGCCGTGACTTCTGCTGTATGTCCATTTAATTGCACGAGGCCACCTGCATAGATGGACACGCACAGTACTGTACACGGGTTGTTAGCGAACATCGATGAATGCTCATTTTTGTCCACGTGTTTGCTGGAATATATTGATCACCTGAGATGGGACACCACATTTGCGAGGGTGTCCTTGGGTGTCGATTGGCACACGCGTAGCCAACACGTGATGGACAATGTAAGGCCGACGCGGGGTCGTGTTTCCAAGCGCCACGCCCGGCCACCTTTGTCTCCCCCAGTGCTTCCTGTTTGTGCATCG